CGGGATAGGCAATCATACCGGTTAAGAACAGATGGAAGTGTGATTTTGGTAGAGAACAGGCATCCTTACCGACATATTTTTTTAAGAAGGTCAATAGTTGTGCCTATACGCGTGTTGAATGTGTAAGTTTGCGTTCACTTCATACCATAATTGTACAGACAAAGACGGTACTGCTGAAGATACATGTTCGTGCATGCACAGTTGACGGAGTAGCTTGGCCTTTCGCTTGACTTGGGTGAGGGGCGGGTTACGACGCCCCCCCCCAAAAAAAAAGTGGTTCGCATGACATACTCAGCGAGTGATTGGCGTGTAGGCACTAGCATGTGCTCTTTGTGTGCGTGTGGCGAGCCACGCCGGCAGCTTTGTCGATTGCCGATAGAAGCAAACATGCGAATTCCTGGAGGTGGTTCGGAAAAAGAAGGTGCAATGGTTGAAGTATGCAGTTTATTGGCCGGGCATTTCTGATTTTCACTCCAGATCCGTTAATGATCGTGATTGGTTCCTCGTGTGACGATTACTCGAACATTTGGCCCGTTGCCACTGCCACCAGGCGGCGAATGATTTAGCTCAGGCAAAAGCTCAGTACAGAATAGGGAGGCGGGAGGTCATTGCGCTTGTCAATTGAAAGCGGACGGGAGAACCATGACTCAGGCAACTGACGTGGTGGTGGGAAGTTTGGGCTCAGCAACCTTGAAGATGTAACCGGGACCCATCGAGGGAGCCGCAATCTGGAAACTGGCGTCATTCTTCCTAGCTGGTGTTAAAGGTTCGACCATTAAAGTTCGGAGTAATTTCCCAGGTTCACCGACGTATTTGGTTTATCCGTAACGATGCCAAGTCCGGAAAACGGTTCTTAACGTTTCCTGTCGGGGCAGCGGTCCTTTCTGCCTAATGATCTGATATCCGGTGGTTGCCTCTGGTCTGTATGCTACTTTAACTCCGAGAAGGTTCTTTACAGCCAAAGACGCTCTTCACGTACAGGAGCGGCTGCCAAAATTTGGGGCTAATTGAATCGTTTCTCTTGCTGCATGCAAGCATGCACCGACTGACGAAGTCGCGCGGATAGGCATTCGCTCTAAGCACTCACAGAAGATATTGCAATTCAGAAACTTTGGCCACTGCTAGCTTCCATCGATTGCATCTTCTTCTCCTGAACTGTTCCCTGGAACTCGTATGTTCGCTTCAATCGAGGCAAAAGTGTAAGTTAAACATACATTTTAATTTATCCTTCTGGGGGTAGCTAGACAAACGCTACGGTTGAATCAGTACAGTCCAAAGAAGTGAATACAGCGCACGTTGAGCGGTGAACATCTTACGGCTCATTCGATGGGACCCGACCACCTATTCACGTTCATTGATGCCCACAAGCAATAATTGCACCCTCGAAGAACGTTCACCAATCGCTAATGGAACTCATTATTAGGGCCCATTCTCGAGTCCCACCAGCAGCCGCACGGTGACTAGTAGCTAAGGCAGATAGCATCGCCGATGGGGCACTTAGCGACGAACACGAGAACTGCTTATTATTGTAGGCATGTTGTGGGCTGGCGACTGCGTCCTTTAATCCTGGGCTGCTCGTGCCATCTATTACCGCTTTTCTGCAACCGCTTCTTCTAATGGGTTGAATCGAGAATCCGAAAAGTCAGGCCAATTAACTTCCTGTTTCAGCAATCGCGTCTTCTTATTCGAAGATCTGCCGCACTTACTTTCAATCACACCCTGACTTAGACGAACCGATTGCATAGGATGAGCTTGGGAGCAGACTCGGAATAGAATTGCCTACAGATATAACTATCTGAAACGCGCCGCTGTTACTACGAACAGTTTTTATCCTCGTGTCGTTCCTGGGATTGTAGAAGCGATCCGTTGATAGCCTAAACCTACCTGCCGGATGTGAACGCTCGCCCGGGTGTCTTACAAATCAGCCCAGATGAAGTTTAGGACAAGCATGAGCTCATATTCTCATCTGTTATGCTTGTTGCAAAAGTAGGATGCATGTCAGCTATTGATACAATTATAGGCGGGGCGTTTGTAGT